ATGCATGCTCTGTGCTCCTTGCACACCCCGTGCACGCTCCCATGATGTCGTGCAGTTGTGCACACTGTGCATGCACGCTGCGCTCCTTGCACACCCCGTGCACAGTCCCATGACATTGTGCACCGCTGCACACACTCTGCACTCCTTGCACAAGCCTTGCACGCTCACATGACATCGTGCACACTGTGCATGCACACTGCGCTCCTTGCACACCCCATGCACACTCCCACGACATCGTGCACACTGTGCATGCACACTGCACTCCTTGCATGCCCTGTGCACACTCCCATGATGTTGTGCACCGCTGCACACACTCTACTCTCCTTGCATGCACTGTGCACACTCCCGTGAAGTCATGCACACTGTGCATGCACACTGCTCTCCTTGCACACCCCGTGCACACTCCCACAACATTGTGCACCGCTGCACACACTCTGTGCTCCTTGCACACCCCATGCACACTCCCATGACATCATGCACGCTGTGCATGCACACTGCTCTCCTTGCACACCCCGTGCACGCTCCCACGACGTCGTGCACACTCTGCACACACTCCGCTCTTTGCACACCCCATGCACGCTCCCACGACGTCATGCACACTGTGCATGCACACTGCTCTCCTTGCACGCCCCATGCACACTCTCACGACGTCGTGCACACTGTGCATGCACACTGCTCTCCTTGCATGCCCCGTGCACGCTCCCACAACGTCATGCACACTGTGCATGCACACTGCGCTCCTTGCACACCCCATGCACGCTCCCACGACGTCGTGCACACTGTGCATGCACACTGCGCTCCTTGCACACCCCATGCACACTCCCACGACGTCGTGCACACTGTGCATGCACACTGCTCTCCTTGCACGCCCCGTGCACGCTCCCACGACGTCGTGCACACTGTGCATGCACACTGCGCTCCTTGCACGCCCCGTGCACGCTCCCACGACGTCGTGCACACTGTGCATGCACACTGCGCTCCTTGCACGCCCCGTGCACACTCCCACGACATCGTGCACACTGTGCATGCACGCTGCGCTCCTTGCACACCCCATGCACACTGCGCTCCTTGCACACCCCATGCACACTCCCACGACGTTGTGCACGCTCTGCACACACTCCGCTCTTTGCACACCCC